AAAGCGACTCCTACGCGGTCATGTCTCATGTCGAGATCTGTGATGTATTTCGAGTTTCATTGCTTTTAAAGAGCGATGCGCAGTTAGATGGAGATGATGGAGTAATTAAAATGTAAATAAAGATTTTATTAGTATTAATCATTTTATGGGTTTTAGAGTATTAACTGGGTTGCCGTTGATTAGTTGGATATGTGCTCCGAATTTTGTGGGATGAGCAGATAGCGAGAAGCAATTCAAGTCAATTTGAACTTACTTAAAATTATTTCATCTTCATGGTGAGATTTCAATAAACGCCAACGGCGTAACTTTGTATAAAAAACAATGAGTTGGTAAAAATCGTGAGAGTTAAATATGCTTTTGGGCTCTATATCTCATTTTGAAATCCGTCGTGTCAAGAATACAAAGCTGTATAATTTTCAATGTAGGACAGAATGTCAGAAAACATTCGAAATAAAAAATTAATGCTTTTTTTCCTTTTTTAGCAAATTATTATTATATATTTAACTATATATTTAATTGTTCGTTAATACTTCAGTTTCTCTAAACTTGAAACATACCAAATTACAACTAATTTTAAATTGAAAATTTCAATATCCAAGTGTATATAACAGTTTTAACTAGATTTTAGTAAATTTTATCTAGTTTTGATTAATATAATTAAGTTATATTGAATGGCAAAATTTGAATTTGAAGTAATTTGAAGAAAAGTAAAAAATAGTCTAAATTCATTAGTCATGAAAAGACTAAAGTCAGCATTTCAACTGCGATTTATTCGCGAAGTTTTTACATAATTTTTAGTAAATTTTATCTAGTTTTTACTAACGTAATATATTGTAATGTCCAAAATAAAAATTATGAGTTATTTGAAGAAAACTAAAACAATGTACTGATTCCATATATTTCAAATGATCCAAAAACTAATGTCTGCATTGTAATCAAAAATTTTTCAAAATTTCAATATCCAAGTGTATAAAAAAATTTTAACCGGACTTAAGTAAATTTTATCTTGTTTTCACAAATACTAATAAATTTCTATGTTCAAAATGAAAATTCGGAGTTATTTGAAGAAAAGTAAAAAATAGTCAAAATCCATGCATTATGGAAACTAAAGTCCATAACTGTAAGTTATTAGTTAATAAGTTTAACTGCGAATTATTCAAAATTTTAATATACACGTGTATAAAAAAGTGTTTACTAGATTTTAATAAATTTTATCTAGTTTTTACTAATGTATACTAGTTATAATGTCTAGAATAAGAATTTAAAGTTATTTGAAAAAAATGAAAAATATATTATATCCATATATTACAAGTTATGGAAATATCAAAGTCCACTTTTCAAATACGAATTATTCAAAATTTCTATATACAAGTTTATACAACAGTTTTCACCATATTTTAGTAAATTTTATCTAGTTTCCATTACTATAAATATATTATAATATCCTCATTGAAAATTAAGGGTTATTTGAAAAAAAGTTTAAAAAAAAGTATTAAACCCATTATGAATTATGAATGAATTATTACTCATAATTCAAATAGTAAAACCTGCATTTCAACTACGAATTATTCAAAATTCCAATATACAAGAGTATAGAACAGTTTTTTCCAAATTTTAGTAAATTTTATCTAGTTTTTACTAATGTAAATAAATTATAATATCCACAGTGAAAATTAAGAGTTATTTTTTGTAGAAAACCAGATAATGTACCAATTTCATATATAGGGTCCGCCAAATAACTTTTTTTTTTACAAACTAGTGAATATTTTCTAAAATTTCTTTTTTTATTTGAAAGTACAATTCTTTCAGTTAATAATGAAATTAATTCAGTTAATAATTTAATTCAAAAATGAAGAAAAAAGCCTCGGCTTACCGTTGAAAAAAAAATGAAAATGAAAATGAAAAATGTTAGATGACATACCCTATATTTCTGAATATCCAAATACTGAAGTCCGCATTTCATGTACGAATTATTCAAAATTTCAATATACAAGTGTATATAATAGTTTTTACAAAATATTAGTAAATTTTATCTAGTTTTTAATGATGCAAATAAATTGTAATGTCCGGAATGAAAATTAAAAGTTATTTGAAAAAAAGTGAAAAATGTTCTACATCCATGTATATTGCAAGTTATAAAAATACTAAAGTCTTGATTTCAACTGTGAATTATTTAAAATTTCAATATAGAAGTGTATAAGACTGTTCTTACTAAATTTTAGTAAATTTTATGTAGTTTTTAATAATGTAAACAAATTATAATGTCCAAAATAAAAATTATAAGTTATTTGAAGAATAGTAAAAATTGTCTAAATCTATATATTGCAAATTATGGGAACTAAACTCCACATTCCAATTGAAAATTAATCAAAATTCCTATATACAACAGCTTTTACCAAGTTTTAATAAATTCCATCTAGTGAATGAAATTTTAATTTGTTTTGTAATGAATGTAAATTTTAGTATATCAAGTATAATATAATTATATTTGAAGTGAAAATCAGTTACCTCAATTTTCCTACGACCCATCATCATGAACGACTCAGCTATCATAGATAGATAGGCTTTTACAGGCAAAGGCGAGCTGAACTGAACTATTATACACATCCCGGCCTGGCTGGCTGGCTGTCTGCAGCCGCGTGATTTATTGCTCGGCCCACTCGGTCGTTACAACATTCGGCCAGTCACTGATTCCGAGGACGAAGACTGGGGGCTACGACGCAAATGTTGGGAAACACGAGCACCGAAGGAAGAAAAATCTCACATTAGACCGAATGAAAATAGTCATAGATAATAATAGATAATTTTGTTTCTGAACTAGTGGTGCATCGTGCCTTAAGGCAAATTGCTTCAACTTTTCGTACCAAACATTAAATTGTTTAAAAAAGTTTTTTTTTAACTTAGAAATAATTAGATTATTGAGTAGTTGGCACTTCAACTGCTATTCATTCAATTTTTATATGAAAGTGTATATTATAGTTTTTACTAGATTTTAATAAATTTTCTCTAGTTTTTACTGATGTAAACTAATTATAATGTCTAGAATAAAAATTAAAAGATATTCGACAAAATAGCAGAAAATATTCTATATCCATATATGTATTGTGAATTATGAAAATAATAAAGCTCGTACTTCACCTGCTATTTATTCAAAATTTTTATATGAAAGTGTATATTATAGTTTTCACTAGATTTTAATGAATTTTCTCTAGTTGTTACTAATGTAAACTAATTATAATGTCTAGAATAAAAATTAAAAAATATTCGACAAAATAGTAGAAAATATTCTATATCTATGTATTGTGAATTGTGAAAATAATAAAGCTCGTACTTCACCTGCTATTTATTCAAAATTTTTATATGAAAGTGTATATTATAGTTTTCACTAAGATTTTAATAAATTTTTTTTAGTGTTTACTAATGTAAACTAATTATAATGTCTAGAATAAAAATTAAAAGATATTTGACAAAATAATAGAAAATATTTTATATCCACATATGTATTGCGAATTATGAAAATAATAAAGTTCGTACTTCACCTGCTATTTATTCAAAATTTTTATATGAAAGTGTATATTATAGTTTTTACTAGATTTTAATAAATTTTCTCTAGTTTTTACTGATGTAAACTAATTATAATGCCTAGAATAAAAATTAAAAGATATTCGACAAAATAATAGAAAATATTTTATATCCA